TCTCCAAGAAAGCAAAACTACTCAGTGGAACACACAAACAAAACACAAGACACATTCAAAAACATTAAGTTAAACCTTTGGGTTGAAGAACACAAAAGTTACCACAAACATTTGAGCTCCCACCCAGGATCAGAGCTTTGACTGTTCTATCTCAGCTATTTAATGAAACCAGGTGACAGGCTGCTCATAATGCCCTGCACACACCTTTTCCAGATCTTACACTTGGTTTCTGGGCCTGATCTCCATCAAGGAGCACAACAACAGTTGGGATGCATTCAGTGGAGCAAAAAGTCTGCAGACTGAGGTTCTCTTTGCTCACTGGAATTAAAAGAAATGGCAGAGAGAAAAAAGAGCAAACAACAAAGACATGAAAGAGCTGTATTGTTAAATCAGTACAAGCCATAGGACATGCACATTGGACATCAGGGACAAGGAGACAACATGGAAAGCAGAGAACAAGAAGAGACAGGAAGAGACAAATAACAGTGTGAAATTCTGGTCTGTGACACCTTGGTAAAGTACATCAACATGAACCATGACTGGATTTCACCTTCAGTACTATAAATTACTCCATATCTACTTTCTGCTATAATGTGGTCGGTCCAAAGACCAGGCTGGAGGCTTCCAGACTTGTAGACAGTGGGGGGGGGAAAGAACAGAACCAAACCCAACCAAACAAGAAGTCTCTACTTTCCTCCCTTCAAAGACACAAAGGTAAAGGGGGTGACAATTTCCCTTACGAGCTGAGCAAAGCAAACAGCGAAGGTCACTGCAGCTCTAGGGAGGTGAGCCCCGCACACAGTCAGACAGGAAGGTCACGCAGAGGCTGCTGTAGTAGGTGGGGTACACCCGCATGTGGCTGACGTGGGGCGAGTCCGAGAAGTCCACGGCTTTCACGGGGACACCGAGCTGCTGCCTGGTGTCAGCCATGTGCTTCACCTCGCTGGCCTTGATGATGGCATCGGCCTGGGAGTAGAGGTACAGCTCGGGCCAGCGCGAGGGCGCCTTCAGCAGGGCGTCGTAGTGGCTCTCGTGGACGAAGCGGGTCAGGGGGTACAGCAGCACCCGCAGCACGACGGCTCCAGTGGCAAAGGTGAGCAGGAGGAAATACTTGAGCAGCACGTTCATGGAGACCAAGACAATTGACAGGGCTCGAAGGGCTCCTACCAAGTTTCTTCTGCCAGGGGTGCTGTCGAAAATGGTGCCTGCTACTCTGAGGTTCTGGAACGGCTTGTGGGTGCGGAGCGCCTCGATGATGTAACGGTACAGCATGACACCACCATTGCTGAAAACATGGAAAAGAACCGGTCTGTCTTCAACCCTGTAGTGAAAGAGTAGCTCCAGGAGTCGCCTGGCTGGGGTCTGGAGCGATTTGATGCCAAAGCTCTCAGAGAAGAATATCATCCTCCATGGAGCCGTGTAGCGAATGACAGTGCACCCCTAAGAAGAACAGAAAGAGACCCCAAACACATTTAGGCTGTGCTGTAAATTACATGATGTAGGCAAGCATCAGTACAAAGAATGCAAAAATTTGGGACAGGTTTCCAACAGAAGCCACAGGGCCAGAAGAAAGTCTTTAGAGTCAGCAGCAAGGCACTGATATGAACAGGATTACATTAATCACAACATTACATAATCATAACACTGTTATGAAAAGGTCTCTGAGGAGGCAGAAGCCTGGCTTTGCTGATGTCTGAGATCCTTTCAAATCTTGCACTAATGGCACAGCCCCTGAGGACACTGCCACCCACTTACATGAGTGTTAGTCCTCACTCAGGAGGAGAAAACCATCTCTCTGATTCACAGACCTTCAGTATCAGCCATTTTGGTAAGAATGTGGTGCACATCCAGCTCATGACATTGAAACAAATACAAGAAGGAGGAGGAATTTCGTCCTCTCCTTGGGTAGCACTTGTTTGCAGCTGTCTCTGAGACTCACCCACAGCCACCACTGACAGGATTTTTGTAAACCTTCCTGAAACGTTCCAGCTGTGCAAAAGAAGAGATCTGGCTCAGAGACTCAGAACTCCTGAGCAGCTGCCTTTACACTGAAAGCCTTGCACAGCAAACAGGATCATGGAGGATTTTCTAAATAGAACAGATGGAACCACATCTATAAATGCTTTAGATCTTTTCTGTCACCTAAGCTCACTGACATTACACACTGACAAACACAAGGTGAAGCCACCCAGACAGCCCTCTCTCCCAGAGCTCCCTAAGCAGTGCAGAAGGAAGAGGAGAATACCAAGTTCTTAAATCAAAGTCTTCTCAACCATCTTGCCATGGTTACTGTCACTACCTCTTAGGGAGCTACGAAAACCCTTTCTCTCCTTTCCCCTTTCTATGACCTTTCTGATCTTCCAAGAAGTTGTCATGCTGCCCTGAAATGTACTTCTCATCTGCTCTGCAGCATCTCTTAGTCATAGCAGCCACTTAACAATTAACTCTTCACTAGATCGAGCCAATTAATGACTCCTGCACTCCACACATCAACAACAGACTTGTTAATGTACAAACTTTACCACCTATAGCTGAAACAGATTTGGATAGATACAGGATTCCTTGTATGCTGATCAAGAAAAAAAAAAAAACTAGTGTTTCACTGGGTCCTCACACTATGAGATGGGGTCATTCCAGTAAAATACAGCATTAGAAAGGAAAATATCAAAACTTAGGGAACTGGCAGTAGGATGGACCTCCCTAGTTCAAATACCAGGAGCTCCTAGTGAGAAGCTATGACTATCACAGGATGGCTGTTTCAGAGGCAGGATAAAATTAATTTAGATTACAACATTTACATGAATCATTTTCACAGGAAGGAAGAGCCAAAGGGGCGACAGATGCCGATGTGCTCTGTCAGTGCCCAGCCTTGCCAAGCCTGTGCTGTGGCCTAACAGCAAGCAGTAAATGCAGGATATTTCCCTGCATGTTTACCTGCCTGGAAAACTAACACAGTTCACGTCATTCCTGAATAATCTCACAACTTTAAAAGCCTTAAAATACTTCAGTGATTCACAGAGCAGCTGAAAGTTTCTCCAAGGAAGTATTTTTGTCTCAGCTGCTCACAGGAAGGTGACATCAGCAGCCGTTAGATAACACTGCCTGGACTCCGGGAGATAAGGAGCTTTCAACGACAGGAGAACTCGCCACTCCCTCCCCATGACTCTGCAGATCGAGAGAGGCTTCAGAGCAACTTTACCAACACGCAGAAAAGAGGCAGTGCCACAAAAACACAGACAAGCTACTCACCTTCTGGCTGTAGATTGCGCTGTATTTGGCCAGGTATTTGTCCTGGCAGCCCGCCCAGCCCAGCAGGATCACCACAGGCTGGCGCTCTGCGTGCCCTCTCTCCGCGCTGCTTTCTGAAACTAAACACAAGTTTTAACATAACGCCCCTCCAGTCTGCCCGAGCCGGAGCTCACGGCAGACTGCCTGGCCAATGCAGTTTAAATGCAATGTGGGAGCACGCATTAGCTCGATCTGCCCGCTGGCCGCGACCGCGGCCTCGGCCCGGTGTCCCCGGGGGCCCTGCTCGGCAGGACAGCGCCGCTTCAGCCCCCGCAGCTCCCACCGCTCCCCAGTGACGCACAGCCAGCGCCGAGCAGATCCCTACGGGGAGGCGAAAGCCCTCCTCCCGGGGGCACCACGGGCTGTCGTGCCCCGCTGTTCCGCGGGGGAAAGCGAAGCGTCCTGCCCTGCCCTGCCCTCACTGCCACACACCTGCTACGGCACCCCCCCTCAGGGTCCCCCCAAGCCCGCGCCCCCCGGGGTTCCCCCAGTCCCTGCTGTCCCTGGTGTCCCGGTCCCGCTCGCCCCGCACCGCGGTCCTGGTCCTGTCCCGGTCCCGGTCCCGGCTGCAGCTCCACCACGGCCGCCTCCAGCCCGTGGGCGCCCATGGCCGCGCTCGCCGCGCCCCCGCCGCCGCTTCCGCCCTCGCCGGAAGCCCCGCCCACACCCTCTCCGCAGCCAATGGGAAGGGAAAGTGCCCGCCCCACCTCCCCGCTGGCCTTGCCCCATCCCCGCCCCCCACTTCCTTAGCAACGCGCCCTTAGCGCCGGGCCTGGCGCCCCGCCCACTGAGCGCCCATTGGGCCGCGGGCGGGACAGAAGGGCGGCGATTGGTGCGGCCGCGTGTCAGTTATTGTGCGAGGTAACCGCCCCCCGGGGATGGAGGGCAGTGAGGGGCTGCGGGGCCGGGATGGGGGGAATGGTTGGGCCTGGAGTGGGGGGGATCACACTCAGGGGGACTGGGAATAGAGTGTAGGGGCTGAGCGGCGCTGTGGGCCTGAGCTGGGCATTTGAGTCAGGAGGGGCGACGCAGGGGCTGGGCAAGGGCGTCAGGGAGCGTGTGAGGGCCCGACGTGGGGTTTGGGGTGTGAGGGAGCGCAGGGCCTGTGGTTGGGCTGGATCGGGCCTGTGGGATGGTGGGCTGGGGCGGGGAATGCTGGGGCTGCCATGGGTCAGGCGGGGCAGGGGCGGGATGGAAGCAGGGGCAGGGCAGCGGGGTGAGGCCGTGCGGGGCTGCGTTTGGGGCTGTGGCTGCATCAGCAGTGGGGCTGGGGGCCAGGACGGACAGTGAGAGAGGGGCCGGCGGGACTGTGGGGTGGTAGGGGCTGGGTACAGTGGGGTGCGCTGAGGAAGGTGCATTGTGCGTGAGGAGGGTGGTGGGGGACTTGAGGTGTGCCAGGAGAGGGTGAAACCTGCAGGGGAAACAGAAGCTCTAAGTTCTGCTTGAGGCTGGGCACAACCTCGATGTTGCAACACCAAATCACTGTCACTCTATCGTTCCACGAGTCCAAGGCGATCAGTCGCTGGCACCTCGCACTTGGACTGAGGCTGACGCAGCATCAGCCTGCCTTTTGATCTCAAACTGATGATTTAGCAGCACTCTGGATGTAAAGAACTGCTGAATTGCCAGGGCCAGTTCCTAAATCACTGGTGTTTTTCTTGGCAGGAATAAAGCCCTGCCCTGACCCAGCCTTGTTTTGATTATTAGGTCCAATGGACTGGGTGGCAGCCCAGCACTGTGGAGAGCAGAGTTTGAAGCCAACAAACAGGAGTTACGTGCTGATGCTAGCACTGACAATCGACTCAGGCAAGCCATTTAACTTCCCTGTGTCTGTATGTTCCCATATGTAAAATGATCATAATAACAATATTAATGCACATTTTCAGGGTACTTTGCAATGTTGGCTTAAAGACTACTGTGTCAGCAGATGCTGTGATTATAGCAGCCAGAGTAACCACTGTATCCTCTGAAGCCCCATGTCATCACTGTTTCAAACTCCTCTTTTTTTCCATTGATCCATAGGCAAGCCCTTTGTATCACTAAAATCCTCACGTCCAGAGGCTGGTGCTGGTATTTCTGAAGAGTGGGAGGGTTACTGCAGCTTTATAATAAAAATGGGATAGCAGTACACCACCAGCATCTTAAACATAAATACAGAAATGTTAATTTAGAATCAATTTTGGGATGTTTCAGACTGTAAAGTTCTTTTAACTAGATCTCTGTTGAGGACAGAGGAGCACTTTATGGGACTGTAAATTTCATGCAAACAGTCTCTGTGAAATACAGATTCCCCCCACACATGAGCTGTTCCCTCAATATCAATCATATGCCTTGTAAGTAATGTTTCACAAATATTCTGTAAATCACAGGAAAATGCTTGCAATAATGTGAAATATGACTTTCACTTGACTGTTTCAGCCGAGGCCCCTAACAGGCCATTCTCCTGTCAGCACTAACATTTGTTATGGCTAATAACATTTTCAATCACAACTATTTTGGGAAAATGGATTTATTTTAAACCTGCTTCCCCTCAAAGGAGGTCCTGAAAACGCCCTGCCAAGGACACAGACTCCTTACAGAGCACAGACCGTAAATTCCCAAATGAAATTTCATCTCATCCTAATTCTTAAACATTGTTCCTTAAAGACTTTGTTTGTTTGTTCGTTTGTTTTCAGGTTCTGAGATACATGTTCACCTCTTAGTCACTGTTTTCAGTCTGGCTCTGATAATAGGAATAAAAAGTTACTTTTGAGCAAGTATCTTGGGGATATTCTGGAACTGCTTTGGAATTTTGCTCCAGATTCCAGGAGAAAGGACTTAAGAATTTTGTAGCTAGGGAATTGGTTATCTTGGTGATTTGTATTACATTGAAAGAAACTCCTTGTTCTGAAATCCAAAGATTGTGTGTCGTTCTAACTTTTTTTCTCCTAAACCACACTTAAACCTAAAATGGTGCTTTTCTTGGGCAGGAAGTCCAAGAAGTGCATTAGACAAGGTGAGAACTCCTTTCTTATCCTTAGGCATGTTGATAGAGATTGGTGGAGGACAAGGCACCTGTGTCAATGCAGCTGTTTGCAACCTTATCCCTCCTTCTGTATCTGTGTGTGGACACAGATCCTGGTGTCTAATTCCTTGGGACTGGTCAGTGTCCTCCAGCCAAACACATACACAGCGCTGGGATTGCCACCTACCTGAGCAAATGGAGAACTTGATCCCTGGCATTTCACCTCCCTACAAAGTACACCTTCACATGTGTCAAGCTGGCATAGGGGTTATCTTACTGAGCCAAAAGTGTGCCAAAGAAATTTGGCAAGATGTGGGTTGCTTTATTTAACACCTGTGTGAAGGGATGGAAGGAAGTGCTGACACAGGATGTTTCTGGGGTTTCTGCCTTCTTGCCTATAGCTCTTATCATTTTAGCTTTTCTTAGATTGTTTAAAAACATGCCTGGAAAATTAGACAGGAAAAAACCTGAGCAAATGTCTGTCACATCAAAGGGTGACGAAGCACTCTTCCACTGCCAAGGCCAGGCACATATTCCTGGGGTGGATGTGGGCCCAGCCCAGATGACTGTCACTCCAGCACGTGAGTGAGGGCTGCACTGCTTTGCTAAGAGGCATTTATAGCCCCCTTGACCCTGTCACTCCCCATAAATCCATACCTATTTCTGCTCTCATTTCACCCTATTTATTCCCTGGCAGGTCAGATACAAGATGCAGTGTTCATATCATGAGGCTAGTGAGAAACCAGGGCTGGAGTAATGGGAAACATCAAAATGACTTTATTAACAGAGCAGAGAAGAGAGCTCCTGTGGTGAAACCACCTGCCCCAGAAAATAATCTCAAGTCTGTCACAGATTCATTGTGCAGCTTCAGACATACCGGGAACTCTCCTTTTGCCTCAGTTTTCCTATCTATGACATGAGTATAAGGGAAAATGAGATTAAATTAATGGTTAGTAAGAGCTTTAGTATTATTTGCCAGAGATTTTAAATGTGATTTTGATAGTAATTCCTTAGTACGGCCTTCCTCTATCTTCACAGCCCTTTTTAAACTTCTTTCTTATTTTTCTCTAGGCAGAAGAGATCCTGACTTCTGTCAAAAAGCAAGAAGCCATCAGGAAGCTCATGGTTTTCTTGCATGAATGGGATAGTGCCCACAAAGTTGCTCGAAGCTGCATCCTGGACAGTTTCATTAAAAGCAAGGCAGAACAAGAGCTGGAGCTGGAGTTCTCCCAGGGAGCCAGTTTGTTCCTGGCTCACCTAACAGCATGGCTCAGGATGGCATATCTGTTTCTTCAGACAGCTGGAGGTGCTGTGTGGTAGTGAGATGGAGAAGAGGGGCAAGTTCTCTACGAAAAATTAGTTTAAAGAATAAGCTCTGCGTGGAGACATTCATATCCAACCATGTTCTGCAGGTCTGAAAAACAACCTGGCTATCTAAAGATGAAACTGAAGGGAAAGCCATGTGACCTGTCTCTGAGGAATGTAGAATTAGTGTTTTTCTTGCACTGGGCTGAGCGTGCTGCCTCTGCCTGCCTGTGAGAGGAAGATCCCTGCTCTCTTGCAAGAGACAGTACCCAGTTCAGACCTCCATCTGCTGCAGCGAGGCAGGAGGTGATGGCTCCCAGGAGCACGGCCTGCTGGCAGAGGAAGATGGGCTCCAAGGTAGGAGATGCTTCTGGCTTTGTTCCCTCTATCCTTGAAGCCACAGATACCTTAATGAATTTCTGGAGATCGGAGGTGTCTCGATTCCCCTGGAAATACCGGGGCTGTACCACCTGAAAGAAGAGGACAAAAGGGAGTCTGTAAAGCTGCTGCCACTCACTGCAGATGCTGGTAGGGAGTATAAGGAGCTCATTTGCAAAAGCTACAGTAGGCAGCATCCATCTATATAGGAATTGTTTTAATTCAGGCAAGGATGTTCTCCCTGACCTCTGACCCCCGGGGTTCCTTGCTGCGCTGAGCCACTCCCACCCCTCCACCTGCAGATGGCAGATCACTGCAGCGCTGGTCTGGCTGGAAGGAGTTCAGAGTCTCAGCTATTGCTGAGTGCCTGCATTTCATCCCCTCTCATTTTTTAACAAGCTCACTTTCTTCACAGTCATATTGGCACAATATTGCTGCCCTGCTGGCTGCAATTCCTCCCGTTAAAACCACAAAACAGTTTCTATTCTTACCTGCAGCATTCACCTACTGCAAACTTTCCCAGAGTTCCCCTCTGGGGTGGGAGGGTTTTGCAGTTTGTATCTTGGAAAGAGCATTACAACATTTTTTTTCCCCGTTTTTTTCTCCTTGCCAGTGGAAACCAAACCCTGTTAGTTCTGTAGTTGGAGGATGTTGTCAGAGGCCATGGGGTGATACATGCTGTCACAGCTTCCTCCAAGAGAGACGAAGCAGCAGGATCAGCAGCAGGAACCTTAGCAGCTCTGTTTGGCATTCCAGCGCCAGACTCTGCTTCCGTAAACACGCGCAGAAGGGCCTTCCTTGGCCACCTAAACCAGCTGAGAATTTTGCCAGCTGGTTTTCCAGTTTATGGCATGGTTCCTGACAAGGGCAGAGAATTTTTTCCTGGCTCTTTGAGCCACACTCCAAGTGGGATGTGATACTGGGTTCTCTTGGGGTAGCAGTGAAACTGCTGAGGTGGGTGACTTATTCTCCTCCAGGCACATGAGTTGGCATCTCTTTCTCTGCAGAGGTACCAGACCTCGCCAAGTTCTTGGCCTCTTCCAACAAAGCAGAGGGTCAAGAAGACACACAGGTTCTGCTGGACTCTTCAGGCCATGGCAATCCCAAGTACCAGAACCAGGTCTGCCTTGTACCTGTGCTGCTCTGTACCTCTCCACAGGCCCAGCACGGGCTCTGCCGATGCTCAGGGTCGTGCAGGTGAGTACTGAGCCTTGTGGGGAGAAATGGGAAGTGTTTGCATCTGTGCCAATCCTTCCTGCCCAGACAGGAGCTGTGTGCGTCTCCCTGGCACTGGGGCTGCACTGAGCAGTCCCGGTGCCTGGAAGGGAACTGCCTGGAGAACTGTGTTAAGGCTGTCCCTGTCACTCTGCCCTTTCTCCCCAGGACACGGTGGGAGAGGTGCCCTGTGCCCTCGACGAGCCCGTGCTGGGCGTGCTGCGCTCTGTGCACCTGGATTAGGAAAGCAGGATCTGTGTACCCACCTTGGGCACTCTGGGGCAGGCCGTGGCTGGCCTGGGCAAGTGTGGCGGGGGTGAAGGGCGAGCTCAGGAGCTCCCGGCCACGTATCCCCAAAACCCTCCCGCCGGAGCGCGCGGCCTCATTAGTATTCATTCATTTGCATACCCAGGGTGCACCGCGCCCGGTACCGCAGCCCCGGTAAAACCTTTCGGTGCCGCCGCTCTCCGGAGCCGCTGGTCCCGGTGCGGGGCCGGGCCAGTCCCTGCCGGGTGAACGGGCCGGGGAAGCGGAGGGTGGAACCGGGGGGGTCGCGGGGTCGCCATGAGCTGTAGAGAGGCAGCTGGGACTACGTGTGTGCAGGGGGGCAATTTACGGCATACTCTGGTTTCTCTTCAGATCGTATAAATCTTTCGCCTTTTACTAAAGATTTCCGTGGAGAGGAACAAGTACGAGTGTCGAATAATTTTTTGAGGCTCCATTTCGGTGGAGCTAACCCTGTTCTGGTTAAAAATAGAAAAACAAATAGCGGTAGAGAATTGTAATAGATCTGGACTCATTTCGTAGGGTTGTAGCGCAGACAAGGACAGTTATTACCCTTTCCAGCGGTAGGAGCGGTGTCTGCCGCGGGGTCGGTTCCGCGCTGGTGCTCACCCTGACCCCGGTACTCAGTCCCTCCGCAGCACCCGTGCCCCGGCCGGGCACCCTCATCACCCCTGTCCCATTAGAACATGGGCGAGCGACCGGGGGGGCTCGGGCGGTGCAGCGCAGCGGCTGCGTGCCGGCCGTTCGGGCTCCGGGAGAAGCGGCCAGGCGGGAACCTGCCCCGCTCTCCGGGCGCTCCAGCCCCGCCCGGGCCCCCGCTCCGGCGCTGTTGGCGCGACCCGGGAGGATCCCGGAGGAGCCCAGTCGTTACCGCGACCCCCCTCCCTTCGGTCTGTGGCAGAGGCGTACGGCGGCCTCTCCCGGAGCCGGCTTTCAGCCTCTGCGCCGCGCTGCCGAGGAAACCGTGCGACCGCAGCCGGGCTCCTCCAGCATCCCCGGGCTCCTCCAGCATCCCCGTCCGCTTCCCCTCGCTGTCCCCGCCGGGCCCAGCCCGCCCCAGCAGCAGGCCTCCCCAGCACGGCGCGATCAGCATAGCCGGGGGGCAGTGCGGGCAGCGCCGGGCCGGTCCCGCCGACAGCCGCCCCTCCGAGCCGCGGCCGGGGCTGGGGCTGGCAGGGGTGTGGAAGGGGCGAGGAGCTGGGGCCGGGCTGGGGGAGGCGACGGGGGAGGGGAGGGAGGGTCGCCGTGTCCTCTGGGGCAGCGTCAGGGAGGGGGTGCATGTGCGGGAAACATGATCTATGTGCTCTGGTTTCTCTTCAGATCGTATAAATCTTTCGCCTTTTACTAAAGATTTCCGTGGAGAGGAACAAGTACGAGTGTCAAGAAATTTTTTGAGGCTCCATTTCGATGGAGCTGCCCCTATTTTGGTTAAAAACAGAGAGAGCTCATTTAAATATCTTTCACACACGCGTTCAGCGTGGTGAGAGTGATTGTCGGGTTACAAAGTTGCGATGCGGAGCCGCGGAGGAAATGATCCCTCGCGATTCGTACCGTGGGGAGAAGGGATCTGCTCCAGGACTGGGGCTGGTGCCCACGGAGCTCACCCACACCTCTCCGCCCTCGCCTCCTCCTCCTCCTCCTCTTCCTCATTAGCGCCTCCTCGTTACCGGTGATTTGCATACCCAGGGTGCCCCGCGGCCCCGCCGGTGTCCGGCGCTGCGGCCGCTGCCCCGCCCGGGCTGTCGGGGCCGCCCGGTGTGTGCGCCCCGCGGGGCCGGGCCGGGCCGGGGCTGCGGGACCGGGAGCGCCGGGCGGGCCCGTGTCACCCTGAGGTGTGGGGCGTGGGGCAGGCGGCGGCAGCGTCGGGGAGGGAGGGAGGGGTATACTCTGGTTTCTCTTCAGATCGTATAAATCTTTCGCCTTTTACTAAAGATTTCCGTGGAGAGGAACAAGTACGAGTGTCGAATAATTTTTTGAGGCTCCATTTCGGTGGAGCTATCCCTACATGTGTAAAAAATAGAGCTCTAAATGCGAAAGATATAGATAGGCGCGATGTGGGACGACCGCGCAGTGCATCCGTCACTGGGTGGTGTCATATCTGTCCATTCATGTATCTCTCACCTTGCTCAGGTCCTGGTTCGTTATTGACCCCTCCCAGGAGGAAAGCGTTTGCCTGCTGCGACGAGGCTGCCGAAGGTACAATAGCTCACCACAATAGCTCACCGCGGTCCCCAAGCACACAGCTATCTGTGACCAGGCAGGACGACCAGCAGGGTGTTTCTCTCAGGGTCCCTTATCTTCTGCAGGGCTCACCCTGGCTGCCACAAAAGTCATTGGGTGAGACACTGGAGAAAAATTTACAGGACCGTGAAAGGGACCTTCACGTAGCTTCCTTTGGGTAGGAAAGGACTGGGACATGTTCCTCCCAGAGAGGGTTCACCCCTTTTTCTGGCACTGCTCCCTGGCTGAGTACCCTGGCTGTGCCAACTCTCCAGCACAAAGCTGCTCAAGGGTGGGTGTGTTCAGGAATGGGGCAGAGTCGCTGCCTGCAGGTAGTATTGCTCAGATGCTCCCTGCTACTGACACTGGAGCTGGCTTGAAATTTTATTTACAGGGAGATGTGAAGTCTGCTCTGGCCTTGCGTGCTGTCACCTCCTATGGCTGGGCCTAGAAGCAATCTAGGTCCCACACAGGGCTGAATGGTGCTGCATTGCTCGTGGCCCCTGTATTCTCCACATACCTGTGAAACACCCTTTTTTGACATCGGCCACCCATTAGAAAACCTAGTGTCCACAACTGACTGCAGAATACTTAAGGAAAGTCAGCCCTTTATGCTAAAATCGGTTCATTCAGTATGAATTTCCCATAGTGTCCACAAGATAGTGCTGTCAGAACACTTTTCCTGCAAAAGCAGATGACAGAAAACTCTTAGTGGGTAGGGAGACATTCGTGGAGAGTCTTCCAGTCTATGCAGAAGTAACAGTGGTGGTGTTTGAATCCTGTGTTCTTTTTGGTCACACAAGAAACTTGCCAGACTTTAATAAACACTAGGAAGCTCTTGCCAATCATTAAACGGTGATTGCTAATCCATGCACAGCCAAACATTTCCTGTTTATTTTGGGACTCTTCTTCCTATCTGTTGGTGCCACTAGGGCTGGACACAGCATTTTCAATTAGGGTTGCACCAAGAGGCCCAGACTCCATTTGTTGTGTGCTTCTTCCCCCATCCAGGGTAGGGGGATGATGGCCTAGAAATCAGGTCTCTGGCTCCTGCATTAGATATACAGATTAGTAAACAGTATTAAGTCCAGGGTGGGGAGGTAGAACAAACAAGGGGCAATACTTTGTTTCTTGCACCCAGGTATCACGGAGAAGGGCTGGGTAATCCAAAAGCAGTAACACCTGAAGCAGAACAGGACCATCTTTCTTTTGTCCAGACTTAGCAGGGCATAACAGCCCTTTTACTCTGGATGTGCCATATGAGTATGATGCAGGCAGAGCCCAGATCCAAGTCAGCTTTGACCATTCAGAAACTTTCAGAGTGCTCAGCCCCACACTGCCCCCAGTACCTAAACTGCTCATCACAAAGTTCCCCAGCTGTGGAGAAGGATCGTGTTGGGGTTGAGGGATTCCTTCTTTAGCTGCTTATGACTACTGCTTGCCCACATCCCACAAAGATCTTTTGCTGTCTTTTCCAGGCCCGTCCTGAAACCTGGCACACAAAAATGGATCCAGTCCAGACTGAATAACTGGCCTCCCCTCTAGTCAGCATCCCCAGAGACATGGCAAGGATGCAGTCCAGAGAAGGTGAGTGCAGAGCTGGATGCACTGTCACTGAAATTACACCCTTAACTTTCAGAGGGAGAAGACAGCTCAAAGAGGGAATAATAGTAGAAGGCTCCCCTTGTGATCTGATGCTTGCATAGCTGCATCCAATGTTGCTGAACCTAGAGCCTACAGGCCTGTTTTGTTCTTTCCAAGACAACCCCTGGTCTGAGCTGAACAAATAGGAAAGAGCAGGCAGCAGCACATGTCTCACACCTATCTCCCCAACCTGCTCTTTCCCAGAGGACAGGGTGTATACACCCACCAGTACCCAGACTGCACACATGGGCCAGGGCCCAGCTTTGCATTTCTGCCCTTAAATACAGATTTTGGGGGGCTACTGAACATCTTTGTGTATTTTATGTGGCATAAAATGGGAAACATATGAAGAAATATAAGATAAGATCCTGTGGCTATCTTCAAAACTTACATAAGCTCCAGTGGTACAAACAAGTCTCACAGGGCCCTTCCTACTTACCTGATAAAATAGCTGAGCCACTCACTATATAGGAGGATAGGTACCCTCTAAACTAGCTTCCCCCATGTTAGGCAAGTTCTACCCAGCAAGATCTCAAAATTAAGAGACAAAACTTATTTCAAGTGATTTTTATGTAAACATTACAAGTATAAAGACTTTGGAAAAAAACTTCATCCAAGAAATCAGCCTCTCTATACAACCAGCCAGTCTTTAGGGCTGTTAGACTTTACCAAAATCAGCAAGAAATATATTTTATAGGACAGAAGATAATTAAATCCAAGAACATTTATTTATTCAACTTCTTAAAATACTAAGTTTTACAATCACATAGTCCATTTTGTTTCTAGAAAAGCAAAACTTGCAACACTTTTGCAGTGCTTCAAGCACATCTGGAAAGGTTATGTACTATACATGTGTATTTAGTTCTATTAGGGGACACCATTGTCACCAGCAAAAGGCCAGATGCCAGGCATCTCTCAGGCAGAGACTGCAGACCCTCAGGCTTCCTCCCCAAGCCTTGTAGTGAGTGCATTTTAGCACTTTGCTGAGTCCCCTGATACAGGCCATGGAGAAAAAGGCTGCCGTGTTCACTGCCCTTGGGCACACGTGACCTGCAGACACTCTACCACATTTAAAACGACTGACACAAACCACTGACAGACATGCAAGACAAGACAAGTGTGTGAAAGATTGCTTGTGAACCAGATTTTGCTGTAATGACTAAGGCCTCTGCCTTCTTATCTGCTTGCTAGCTTGCTCCTCCAGTTGCATGGCAGCCCCCAGGGCATCCAGTGTTTCTGTAAAGGAAGATAGGAGTGACAGGGTGACTGACCTGGAAGCTGAGTTTCCCAGCCCAGCTATCCCTCTCAGCAGAGCTGAGAGCTATGCAGAAGGACTGGGTGCTCAAACCCCCCCAGGTATGCTGGGGTTACTTTCAGGTCTTTGGAAAAGCATTAGTGACAGTGCTAGTCAGAGACAGGCACTCACATACCTCTAACGCTGAGGAAATTTCTTGAGCCGTCCTCTACGAAGTACTTAGCTCTGCTCACAAAGGTCTCGAGATCATAGTCGGGTTTCTCTGTGATTCCCAGGAGGTAGTCAACTTCGCTCATCATTGTCATCATTCTCTATATTTACAGGGATAACAG